CATCTTTTTTTTTTCTTTTTTTTTCTTTTTTATTGTTAAGACATATAAAACTATAAGGTTGTTGAACATTTGAAGTTTTAAAGCAGCTGTTTTCTTGAAAAAGATGTGATAATGTAATTAGAAACTGAATTGGAAATGATCTTATTTTAATATAGTCAGTCGTGAACTGAGGTGGGCCGGTCTAATGCTTGAAACTCCAGGGCTGAAAAGGAGTCCCACTCCGGCCCTGTACACAGTAGTACACACAATATCATTGTCTGCTGGATCAGGCCAGGCCGGCTGTACCTATTAAGCAGTCGAGCTCTGTCTATCTGCCGTCCTCGTGGAGTGTGCAGATTTGCATTTGAAACGCTTCTCATCCACACAAAGCCCTGCAGCTGCTTCTCTGCAATCTGCAAGTGAATGTCGTGATGTCACCTAATAAGTGCACTCAGAAAAGGTGTGTGTACTGGCCTGAAAATGTTGATGCTTATTATTATTCAGACTGATTTCTAAAGGCTGTACTGTAACCGGAAATTTTAAAGAGATTGTTTTCTTTCTGTACAGATATGTAAAATACAGGGTATATAAATGTATAAAGGCGAAAGCGACAGAGGCATTTTTTGTGTCGCCTCTTTTGCATAGGCTTTGACATTTGTGTTTGCAGAGCCGGAGAGCAGAGCAAACACTGTGGGATGATGCAGGCGAGTTGTTTTGAGTTTCAGCTGCCGGTGCTGCATGTGTGTACACGCATGTGGCTTTCACTGTGAAAGGTTTCACTTCGTTTCATTTCCTTCACTCGGTGCCTTCAGAGTGTAACTTTAATGTGAGAACAGTCATTTGTAGTCATTTAGTGGGTTTTTGCTTAAATGTGTATGATGCTTTTATTCTAAAGTTTGTTTTTGTTTTGTTATATTATATTATATTATATTATATTATATTACATTATATTATATTATATTATATTATATTATATTATATTATATTATATTATATTATATTATATTATATTATATTGTATTGTATTGTATTATATTATATATTATTATATATTATTTTATATATTATATTATATTGAATTATATATTATTATGTTATTATATTATATTATATTATATATTATTTTATATAGCATGTTATTTTATATTATATTATATATTTTATATATTATATTATATTATATTACATTATGCTATATTATTTTATATATTACGTTATATTGTATTATGTTATTCTATTCTTTTATTTTATTTTATTTTATTAAATTATATTATAATATATTATACTATATATTATGTTATATGATATTTTGTTTTCTGATACTATGTTTTATTATATTATATTATTCTATATTATATTAGTATTACAAAAGTAATTACCAACAGATTATATTTATTAAATTGGATAACATTATATTCAAACTAATTCACATAATATTAAATTTATAGATAATTTTATATAATTTAATAATGTTGTAAAATAGTGATATTTATTATTTTCTGTTATGATTTTTTTTTTTTTACTTGTAAGTCACTTTAGACATTTAGTGGATTTGCGCTTATATGTCTATGAGGTTTTTATTATAAAGTTTGTTTTGTTGTGTAATATATTATATTATATTATATTATATTATATTATATTATATTATATTGTATTGTATTGTATTATATTATATTGTATTATATTATATTGTATTGTAAGGTATTATATTATATTATATTATATTATATTATATTATATTATATTATATTATATTGTATTGTATTGTATTATATTATTATATATTATTTTATATATTATATTATATTGAATTATATATTATTATATTATTATGTTATTAAATAATATTATATATTATTTTATATAGCATGTTATTTTATATAATATTATATATTTTATATATTATATTATATTATATTACATTATGCTATATTATTTTATATATTATGTTATATTGTATTATGTTATTCTATTCTTTTATTTTATTTTTATTTTATTAAATTATATTATAATATATTATACTATATATTATGTTATATGATATTTTGTTTTCTGATACTATGTTTTATTATATTATATTATTCTATATTATATTAGTATTACAAAAGTAATTACCAACAGATTATATTTATTAAATTGGATAACATTATATTCAAACTAATTCACATAATATTAAATTTATAGATAATTTTATATAATTTAATAATGTTGTAAAATAGTGATATTTATTATTTTCTGTTATGATTTTTTTTTTTTTACTTGTAAGTCACTTTAGACATTTAGTGGATTTGCGCTTATATGTCTATGAGGTTTTTATTATAAAGTTTGTTTTGTTGTGTAATATATTATATTATATTATATTATATTATATTATATTATATTATATTGTATTGTATTATATTATATTGTATTATATTATATTGTATTGTAAGGTATTATATTATATTATATTATATTATATTATATTATATTATATTATATTATATTGTATTGTATTGTATTATATTATTATATATTATTTTATATATTATATTATATTGAATTATATATTATTATATTATTATGTTATTAAATAATATTATATATTATTTTATATAGCATGTTATTTTATATAATATTATATATTTTATATATTATATTATATTATATTACATTATGCTATATTATTTTATATATTATGTTATATTGTATTATGTTATTCTATTCTTTTATTTTATTTTTATTTTATTAAATTATATTATAATATATTATACTATATATTATGTTATATGATATTTTGTTTTCTGATACTATGTTTTATTATATTATATTATTCTATATTATATTAGTATTACAAAAGTAATTACCAACAGATTATATTTATTAAATTGGATAACATTATATTCAAACTAATTCACATAATATTAAATTTATAGATAATTTTATATAATTTAATAATGTTGTAAAATAGTGATATTTATTATTTTCTGTTATGATTTTTTTTTTTTTACTTGTAAGTCACTTTAGACATTTAGTGGATTTGCGCTTATATGTCTATGAGGTTTTTATTATAAAGTTTGTTTTGTTGTGTAATATATTATATTATATTATATTATATTATATTATATTATATTATATTGTATTGTATTGTATTATATTATATTGTATTATATTATATTGTATTGTAAGGTATTATATTATATTATATTATATTATATTATATTATATTATATTATATTATATTGTATTGTATTGTATTATATTATTATATATTATTTTATATATTATATTATATTGAATTATATATTATTATATTATTATGTTATTAAATAATATTATATATTATTTTATATAGCATGTTATTTTATATAATATTATATATTTTATATATTATATTATATTATATTACATTATGCTATATTATTTTATATATTATGTTATATTGTATTATGTTATTCTATTCTTTTATTTTATTTTTATTTTATTAAATTATATTATAATATATTATACTATATATTATGTTATATGATATTTTGTTTTCTGATACTATGTTTTATTATATTATATTATTCTATATTATATTAGTATTACAAAAGTAATTACCAACAGATTATATTTATTAAATTGGATAACATTATATTCAAACTAATTCACATAATATTAAATTTATATATATATATATATTTTTTTTACTTGTAAGTCACTTTAGACATTTAGTGAATTTGCGCTTATATGTCTATGAAGTTTTTATTATAAAGTTTGTTTTTGTTGTGTAATTTTATATTATATTATATTATATATTATATTATATTATATTATATTATATTATATTATATTATATTATATTATATTATATTATATTATATTATATTATTCATTCATTCATTCATTCATTTTCTTGTCGGCTTAATATTAATCTGGGGTCACCACAGCGGAATGAACCGCCAACTTATCCAGCAAGTTATTACGCAGCGGATGCCCTTCCAGCCGCAACCCATCTCTGGAAAATATATTATATTATATTATGTTAAATTAAATAATATTATATGATATTATATTATGTTTTATTATTCATTCATTCATTTTCTTGTCGGCTTAGTCCCTTTATTAATCTGAGGTCACCACAGCAGAATGAACCACCAACTTATTCAGCAAGTTTTTACGCAGTGGATGCCCTTCCAGCAGCAACCCATCTCTGGGAAACATCCACACACATTCACACACACACTCATACACTACGGAGAATTTAGCTTACCCAATTCACCTGTACCTCATGTCTTTGGACTGTGGGGGAAACCAGAGCACCCGGAGAAAACCACGCGAAGGCAGGGAGAACATGCTAACTTTACACAGAAACGCCAACTGAGCCGAGGTTCGAACAAGCGACTATCTTGCTGTAAGGCGACAGCACTACCTACTGTGCCACTGCCTCGCCATTATGTTTTATTATATTATATTATATTATATTATATTATATTATATTATATTATATTATATTATATTATATATAACAATATATACTATATTATACATATAATAATTGGTATTGTTATATTATTAATATTGTATCTGGAATAATAATATTAATAATAATAATAATAATAATAATAATAATAATAATGATATATGTGTTGTTCTTTCACATATAATTTCATTCATGTTTTTGTTTGTGCTACACAGATGAGTGATGTATGTAATCTTGTGTAGCCTGTTTATTAATTTACTGTTTTATTACTGTCATAAACAATTTCACACATTCATGAATAATAAAACTGGCAAAAAGATGACCTTAAAAGAAAACTTGCAAATCAGCAAGTTTTGCATGGTCAAACCCCAGCTGCTTTTGTCTCCAAAGTTTACATAAGAAGTTTCCGTTTCATCATAAATAGTGCTTTCTCGTTCTGTTATGACAATTAAGGGCAAAGTTGATGAGTTTTTGCTGCTTCCTCTGCGTCAGTGCAGTGCAGTAATGTCTTCTGTCATGGTCTGCTGCACACATAATAACTAAAACTAAAACCCCTGCTGTGTGTTTTTCCTCAAAGCTCGACAGATGCCTGCGCTGGACAATCTACCGGAGCAGTACCTGACAGGACACTGGCCTCGAGAGCAGAACCAGCCCCAGCCGGCCTGCATGACTGATAAAGCCACACAGGTGAGTCCTGCTTATCTCAGGATCAGAATGAGCTTCATTCACCACATGTGCGCTAGCACACAAGGACATATTTGTGGTTTACAGGAGCTCAGGGTACATACATGCATATCAACACAAGGGGACAGAAAAACATTTAAATAGGTTTTATGAATATTGTTCAAATTTACTACCCTCTTGTTATGTTAGGGGCTGTTTTTGCCCCGTTTACTTTTTAAAATCCCATTATAACAATATTTCTTGATTGCAAATCCAAAATAAAATAAAATAGTGAATTTAATGTAACGTTTCCACTAGGGTTGGGCGATGTTGACCAATTTGGCATCGTATGATGTTTAATGTGAAACATCGTGATAGAAGATGGCATCGTCGTCGTAGGTGGCGGGTGGGGCTGGTTGTTAAATATCAATGAATAAATACCGAATTAATTCATTGTAGCCTACCGTTTTCATTACCTTACCCACATGGTCTTTGCTTTACCCATAACCAAACCATAAATAAATAAAGTTACACACAAATGACCACCTGTGCATCACTTTTTTCCGCGGGACTCTGGCATGAATAGGCAGAGTGATCTGTGTCGTTTTAATGGCTTTTCCCACAGCTGGTGGAGGAGACGAGAGTTTGGTTGGAGTTCACTGTAGTGCAGTGGTCCCCAACCCCTGGGTCGTGGACCGGTACCGGTCCGTGGATCAATCAGTACCGGGCCGCACAAGAATGAATTATCTTTAAGTTGGCAGATAAAGTAGCTGCATTTAAAGCCAAACTGGATTTGTGGGGACGGCGCGTGAACAGAGGCATATTGGATTTGCATGATATGTGTGTGTGTGCGGGCGCTCACTGGCTGTTTCATGGGCACATGCAAAGCTTGAAGGTAAACAAACATCCGCTTATCATAAGCATCTTATCGATAATTATTTACATGGTTGGCATTAAGATGAACATACAAACGTTATCTAATTTCTAGCACCTAAATGTGTCCGGAAAAATATTCAAAGGCTTTTATTCTCATAAACCATGCGGATGTGAATGCGTCTGACTGTTCTGATTGGCTAAAGCAGACGTCTCACATCAGCACGTTCTAGACGTGCACGCGCTCTTTCCAGCAATCTTCCTTCTGCGTTCACACAGCGCAGCATTCCCGCAAATTACCGGTAATGTTACAACTTCTCTTTTCGGAAAATAGCCAGAACGTATTTACCGGTATTTTTAAAAAGGCCCTGTTCATACATACACACCTTTCCGGAAAATTGCCGGCAATTTTCCGGAAAGGTCTGTATGTGTGAAAGGGACTTTTGTCTGCCATTACCCCCAGATGGGACCATCTCGTTGCAAAGAAACAAGCTCAGGGCTCCCATTGATTTAGCGTTACGGACAGTTTTTGCTGTTATAATATGTTATATTGTTGGAGCAATGTGTTAATAAAGTTATTACTTCCTAATGTTATAATAGCATTGTAATGTTGGAGCAATGTGCTAATAAAGCTCCATATGAGTACAGTGGATTCATGTTTATTATTATTATTATTATTATTATTATTATTTCAACACCCCTGGTCTGCAGAAAAATTGTCAAGCGTTGACCGGTCCGCAGTTTGAAAAATGTTGGGGACCACTGCTGTAGTGCATACATTTTCACTGTCTTCACGGCAAAATCCTCACCGCGTACGCAGATTTAGCAGACTTTTCTGCAGAATGCATCTTTGCAGCTAAAAACGCCAAACGCAGCGCTCCGAAACAGATTAAAACGGTGGTTATGTGAGCTTGCTAAAGTAAAAAAAGCCTGCAATGCTTGCCCCGCCTTTGTGCTCTTCTTATTGGCTCACTGCTCTAACTGAACGAGAATGATTGGTTAACATCAGCTGTCAATCACTCAGTCAATACCTTCTGCCTTCAGATGACTGGAGCTACAACCACGAAAATGTGAAGCGCTGAAGATGAGAGAATGAAAATAACACTGACAGATTTACCTACAGTTACTAATAATGGCACGTCTTATTAGTGATCACGTGCTGAATGTTAATCCACCATTTAATCTTTTCCAATAGTGTATGATAGACTTCTTGTGAATTCAAGTCCGCTATAAAAATAACTAAAGCCAATCACTGTAAAGTCTGTGGGACGGGGTGTGCAGGTAACCACATTTGCCACTGAATCTACACATTTTAAGCACAAGAGGGGCTGTGTAATCCTTCCTGCAAGCGGCAGCTATATGTAACATTTAACACAGCTCATGAAAAGACGGCTATTGTTATTAAGATGACATTCAAATAATAAGTTGTATATCAATATAATTGTGGGGCGGGGCGATGGATCGCGATGCCGGCTCAGCATCGTGAAGTTTGTCGGCCAACGGCAATGGACGATGGCATCGTCTGTCGGCACAACCCTAGTTTCCATTGAGTGGTATGATTCGGTACGGTTTGGTACGCTTTCAAAAGCTACCAAAAAGTGAACCTTATTGTATCACTTTTTGGGTACCCTCCCTAAAGGGTACTTAGCACAACACACGGGTACCAAAAGGCGAAGCAAAACACACAGCTGAACGCTATTGGTTTACAGAGATACGTCACTCGCTTGTGCACAAGCAGAATGAAAACAAAGGAAGTGGCATTTTTAAATATGCTACCCCGAAACGGTCGTGTGTGTAAAAAGGTTTGCTTTCCTTTATTCATTAGTGTCATGAAGACTGTTTAGTGGTGTAGCTCCACTGAGACCCTCGCCTGCCTGCCCGGAAACAAAGCTGGGACAAAAGGCCGATGCGTCCCGGCAGTCTGGGTTATAGAAAGAGGAGAAAACTTTCTGGAGGTGCAGCAGTTTGCACCTGTCACAATCTCCGTGCTCTCTATTCTCTCTCTTTGTGTGTGTGTGTGTGTGTGTGTGTGTGTGTGTGTGTGTGTGTGTGTGTGTGTGTGTGTGTGTGTGTGTGTGTGTGTGTGTGTGTGTGTGTGTGCGCACACTTGTGAGTGTGAGTGTGTGTGTGTTCCTGTCTGTGTATGTGTGGTCATGCTATTCATTACCAAATGTCCCCACAAGTATAGCAATTCCAGCATTTTTGACCTTATTAGAGGAAACGGCTTATAAATCATACATAAGAGTGTGCCCGCTTTTGTGTGTGTTTGTGTGTGTTTCTGTCTGTTTACTTGTGTGACATCCATGTTTGTGACATCTATGCTATGCACCATTGTGTGTGTGTGTGCCTGAGTGTGTGCCTGAGTGTGTGCCCGTGTCTGTCAGTGTATGTGTGTTTGTGTAGGCATGTATGTGTGTGTTTGTTTTGTGTGTGTGTGTTTGTTTGTGTGTGTGTGTGTTTGTGTACATGTGTATGTTTTACTCTATACGAGTTTGTGTAAGTATCTACATTTGTGTGCGTGTGAATGTTATTGTACCTGTCTGTCAGTGCATGTGTGTGTGTGTAGCTGTTTGTGTGTGAGAAAGAGAGTGTGTATGTGTGTGTCCGTGTGTTTGTCTATTAGTGTGTAGTTGTGTGAAGGTGTGTGTGTGTGTGTGTGTGTGTTTCTGTCTGTTTACTTGTGTGACATCAATGTTTGTGACATCAGTATGTGTGTGCCCGTGTGTCAGTGTATGTGTGTTTGTGTAGGCATGTGTGTTTGTGTGTGTGTGTGTGTGTGTGTGTGTGTTTGTTTGTTTGTGTGTTTATGTACATGTGTATGTTTTACTCTATATGAGTTTGTGTGTGTGTGTGTGTGTGTGTGTGTGTGTGTGTGTGTGTGTGTGTGTGTGTGTGTGTGTGTGTGTGTGTGTGTGTGTGTGTGTGTGTGTGTGTCTGTGTGTTAATGCACCTGTCTGTCAGTGCATGTGTGTATGTGTAGCTGTGTGTGTGTGAGAAAGAGAGAGTGTGTCTGTGTGTGTCCGTGTGTTTGTCTATCAGTGTGTAGTTGTGTGTGAGTGTGTCTGTCTGTCAGTATGTAAAGGGGTGTGTCTTAGTGTGTCTGTCTGTCAGTCAGTGTGTAGTTGTGTGTGTGTGTGTGTGTGTTTCTGTCTGTTTACTTGTGTGACATCAATGTTTGTGACATCAGTATGTGTGTGCCCGTGTTTGTGTAGGCGTGTGTGTTTTTGTTTGTGTGTGTGTGTGTGTGTGTGTGTGTTTGTGTACATGTGTATGTTTTACTCTATATGAGTTTGTGTAAGTATCTACATTTGTGTGTGTGTGTTAATGTACCTGTCTGTCAGTGCATGTGTGTGTGTGTAGCTGTGTGTGTGTGAGAAAGATAGAGTGTGTTTGTGTGTGAAATATGTAGTTGTGTGTGAGTGCCTGTCTGTCAATATGTGAAGGTGTGTGTGTGTGTGTGTGTGTGTGTGTGTGTGTGTGTGTGTGTGTGTTTGCGTGTGTCTGTCTGTCTGTCAGTCAGTGTGTAGTTGTGTGTGAGTTTGTCTGTCTGTCAGTGTGTGTGTGCATGTGCGAATGCATGTATGTACGTTAAGTGTGTGTAGGTGTGTGTTCTGCTCTGTGTCTGATGTCTGTGTCTGTGTGTGTGTGTCTGCAGCACCTGCCTGTCTTTGTGTGTTGTGTTGAGCTGCCCGCAGAGAGATCCATACATATGCTAATGTGTGATCCGGCCCTCAGAGGCCTCGCCTGGTGCTCCCAGAGCTGGAGAAAATCAGTCGAGACCAGGCTGTTTCCCTCAACATCTCTCTCTTCACACTGCACAGCCACATCCAGGCTTTTTGTCCACAGTAGCAGCTTTTGCCATTGTTTCATGCGCTTCCTCAATTAATGATTGCTGTTTAAAAACTCGCGGGTCGTTTTCTTTCTCCACAAGAAATCACAGATGACCCGAAAAGACAATTCTGTCATCATTTAATGATGTTTTGAATGTGCAGTTTTAGTAAATTAAACTTTTACTTGCAGGAAGTAAAATAATAAAGGTGTGGTCCACCGTGTGTTTTTAAGGCTTGGTTGTGTCTACAAGATGCAAAGCAAAGTGTGCTCATGCTTCACTTGTAGAAAATCGCGTTATTCTGTCATATATCTGACTTTGATTATATACAGCTACTCAGCTAACATAGAGGCTGTTTCTCAACATGCGTTCTTCAGCGGTCTTGCGTCGTTGTGTTTTCGTGTAACGTCAACATCAGCTGCCAAAGTTCAGTTCCAATACTCAAGACTGCAAGAACAGAGGATGCGTTGTAACTTTTCAATTGTTTTATTCATTGCAGTCACATTAAAAAAGGTTACCCCTAGGATATTAGTAAAATACTGATGCTAGCAAACATTTATTCTATGCATATATATTTTATTTCCCTAATGGAAACATACTGGTTCAGTGAACAATGCACTCAAAAACAAAACTAATAAATCCCCAAACTCTTTTAAACCTCTCCCAAACACAAGAAAAAACAAACAAACAAAACAAAACATATAGGGCCCTATCATACACCCGGCGCAATGTGGCGCAAGACGCAACGCAATTGCTATTTGCTACTTTCAACTCAGCGCAAGGGTCATTTTGAGGAGTTGCGTCACACTGTTTAAATACCAAATGCATTTGCGATCATATGTGCGGCCATAGGCGTTCTGGTTTAAAAAAGCAGGCGTGTTTTGGCGCGTTACTGTTTTGAGAAACTGTAAATAGTCTGATCTTTAGACCAGAACAAAGTCGGTCTATTGTCTGGCGCAAAGTTACACACTACACACAAGATGTAGAGCAATACGCAAATATCTTTACATATGAAAAAGATAGAATATATTAAGGATATATATAATAAGGATATATACAGGATATAAATATAAATGATTAAATTATTACAAAACATATTAATTTCTAGCCTACATGAATTTAAAAACCACTGCCTTACCTTCTACATATCGGGAGGCTTTTTCAGTTCATTCAATTTGCTTTTGTATAATATTATTATTATTAGCAGTATTATTAATTATATCCATATTTATATTTGTTTTATTAAAAACAAGCTTAGATTTGTCCACCTGTCAGGTTTTAGATCATATGGGGCATAGTAGGTGTATTTGGAAATAACTCAGTATTTTGACCACACTTCGTTATTATTGTTCATTGATTCGTTTGCTGGAAATTAGAACTGAATTTAGAAATAGTTTTGAAACAAATCTTTGCGCTTAACAAATGAAATTAATTATTTATAGGCTAATTGATGTCTGTGCGTAAAGGTTTCCCTATCCACGAGAGCAAAAGCGAAAGTGAACTTACTTTACGTCATGTTAATAGCAAATGCGCTCATGACACGACGCAGCTGGCTCTTAAAGGGAATGGGAGATGAGACTCTGATTGGTTTATTCTCAAAGCACACCTATAACTCATAAGGAAAATAAACCTAACCCTTTTAGACCATGCGCCACGGCGCAAAGCGGATTTTCCCGTCCTTAAATGAACAAAAATGGATTCTGACACGCCCTGAAAGCGATTGCGCCCTGCGCTTTGCATTTTGCACATTGACCGTCAAAATAAAGATGATGATGGAGCCTTCTTCTGAACAAAGAAAAACATTTAGTGTGTTGAAAGTCACTGATCCACTTCTTCAAACTCACAGTTAATGTTTGAATGAAACTGCATGATGGCCTCCAAGAAAAATCGTCCAAGATTAATCAGACATCATACCCTTAAAACATTATGGAAGTCCATAAGTTGAGCTTAAAACTCTAGGTTTCTCAACTAATACTTCACAAAATTACTATTAGTTTGAAGTAGCCTCAAAGAACCAAGGCTGCATCCGAAACCGCATACTTCCATACTATATAGTATGCTAAAGTATGTGAGCCGAGCAGTATTCCACACTATACCACTGAAAACACATCAGTACCACTAATCAAAACACATTCAAGATGACCTGGATCAGGGCTCGAAATTGCGACCACTTTGGTCGCATATGCGCTCGAAAATTAATCTATGCGACCTCATAATATATCTGGGAGCATTAGTGCGACTGCAGATAATGGTTGTAGTGCGACCTGTTTTGGTTTTTTCTAAAAACGTGCTGAATCGCTCTTCCCTGCCGCAATATTGGTTCATATTAGCTGTCAATCACTCAAGGTATTCCGCTGTCAGATGACAGGAAAGGAGCTTTTATCACCACGGGAAATACAAACGGCTTTAGAGTAAAAAACTTAAAGCACACAGGTTTGCAAAGTGCAAACCCCACCTAAAGTTGAGGCGCAGATGAGAGCGATCATGACAACGTCACGTGGTGAATAATGATCCACCAGCTGAGATCAATCGAGTACGCGCTTCTTGGAGAAGGTGCCCGAATCTCCATGCGTTGCATTCACTGTGTGTTTAGCGCAAATGTCCGCTAAAAGTCAAATCTAATACTGTACATATCATCGCCAAAGGAGCTCGCCTTTACTAAGTTTACACTGAAACTGCGGCTCGTAACAAAGACCGGTATTGGGCCGGTGGTCAGCGCAAGAATCCTGCTCTGCCTGCTTATAAATTGGGTCGGCTGACTCACCAGCTTTTCCACAAACGCAGAAACATGAAGATCAGCTCAGACTGAACCTTTAAATTGACACAAACTGAAACCAAAAATTTTAAAGAGTGATAGAAGTGAGACTTTACTTACTTTCTTTTGTCTATTCTTTCCTGAGGTGTATATTATTATTATTTTTTTTTATTTACTGATGACTGCTTTGCAGCTTTCATCATTGAATTGAATGATTTATTATAATATTTTGTTTGTTTTGTTGCAGAAATATTATTTATTAAATTGACATTCATATAAAAACAGCAGCACAAAATAAAATTTTCTTACTGTAATGCTTAATTTTTTTTGATGCAAACTATACAATTATTTTTCATAAAGTAACTGACATTTTATAGCAGATAACCTACATTCATGCATATTCAAGGCAGTATCATAATGAGAAATGGAATTCATTGTTACTATTATTGTCATTTTCATCATCATTAATATTCTATGGCCTAATTATTAGACATTCATTTTGGAATTATTGCACACAAATATCAATGTCTTCGCAGCATTAGTTAGATAGTTGTTTCTGGTTTTTGTCAGTCCTATTAATGTTGTTTTAAAATACAATAAAACCCTTAAAAAACAATTTGCAGCTGTGCTCATTCATTTTTGGTGGGTGCTCCTAAATTTTTTCTGGTGCTCCTAAAAATTTTTTGGTGCTCCTAAATATTTGAAGTTGGGAGCACCGGTGCTACCAAGTAAAAAAGTTAATTTCGAGCCCTGTGGATGTTCAAGTCATAACATGATGTGTACAAGTTCATCTATAAACGAGTATCTCATATGAAAAGTAGCACGTTGCATGTTGTCCGTTCACTGTGGCTGTGTCTGGAGCTCCGTCTGTTTGCTCAGCACTGTGTTGTGGTTCGGGTCAAAAAAGCGGCACATGAGCTGTTCGCCAACCACAAGCATCCTGTTGTTGTTTTATGATAAAATCACATATGTAGGACACACGACTTCAACGATATGTCCTATATGGGATGCTACCCCTTGATCATTTGATGACCGAGTTTTAATATTTCAGACGCCTGCCATTTGGACTGAAGATGGAGGAGAGGCAAACACACACAAGCGCTCGGCATCATGGGGCAGCGCTGACCATCTCATAGAGGTATGCATTATAATGACATGAAGTGTGTAGATGATTGGTGGTTATGTATTTATAGAGGCTTCTGGGTGTATAATTGACCTCTCTTTCCTCAAAAAATACTCAAACAAACCCACACAATGTGTCTTGACTTGTCATTAGTGGCTGTTATTCAAATGCAAAGTCACTTTAGGAATTCCAGGTTATGGAAAAATACAACAAACATCTATTCAGAAAGCTTGGGTTGGGTAAAATGATGATATGAAGTTGAAGTCAGAATTATTAGCCCCCCTGAATTATTAGCCCCCCTGAACTAAGCCTGGTTTATACTTCTGCGTCAAGTGACCGGCGTAACCCACGGTGCATCCAACGCGCGTAGCTGTGCATTTATACTTCTGCGCGCTGTCTCTGTTGGTCTGCATTAACACTTCCAAAACGCTAGTTAGCAGTGAGGTGTAAATGTTCCTCTGTGTCGAGTTTCTTCGCTGCTGTTTTGCTTTTCCTGAACACTTCCTGAATGTACAAGTGGCTCAAACTCGCTCATTATGAGGCAGGAACCGGCGGACGTGCAACAACTTTAACTATGAGGTAAACACAAAACAAAACTTTCCATCCGGAGCTCCTTCACGGGACTCCACACTTGTAAACAATCGCTCTATTGGGCTAGCGCCGCTCGCGCGGCTCCTGGTCCTGCCCAGACTAATCAGTGCTACCAAGCCGACCAATCAAAGAGCTTGCGCTATGCGTTGTTGCGACGTGTAGCTACATTTTTTGAGAGGTGCACGTCAGCGACTGCCACGGCGAAGGGCTATGCGTCAAGCCCCCCTGTTAATTTTTTCCTCAATTTCTGTTTAACGAAGAGAGGATTGTTTCAACACATTTCCAAACATAATAGTTTAATAACTCATCTCTAATAACTGGTTTATTTTATCTTTGCCATGATGACAGTAAATAATATTTGACTAGATATTTTTCAAGACACTTCTATACATTTAAAGGCTTAACTAGGTTAATTAGGTTAATTAGGCAGGTTAGGGTAATTAGGCAAGTTATTGTATGACGATGGTTTGTTCTGTAGACCAGGGCTTCACAAACTTTTCAGCCCACGACCCCCAAAAAAACAATGCCAGTGACTCGCGACCCCTAATATCCTCTGAAGTGGTTTTAAATACATAAACCTTGCATGCAATGGCACACACACACCAATAGACCCAGGTCTATTATTTGTTTAATTTTTAATGCATGTCAGTGCTGTAAATGTGCCAGAAAGTTTAAACTGGTGTTATAAAATCAGTCTGCTGCTTCGGACGCTATTGCTGTCTTTAATATTATGTAATAACACCAGGGGTCGCAATCCAATAGAACTAGCAACTATGAGTTACTATAGTAACTATTTAGTATACAGCAACTATAAACAACTATTTTTTTCAGTAGGTTTTGGATAAAATATAGTAATTCTTATGGTTTAATAAAAATAAATACATTTTTAAAAATCACTAGACGAACCCTACCATACCCCCCCCCCCCCTTCATTTTCCCGACCACCACTTTAAGAACCACTGCTGTAGACTATCGAAAAAATACATTGCATAAAGGAGCTAATACTACAGTCGATAGCACTGTCACCTCGCAGCAAGAAGATCGCTGGTTTAAGCCTCAACTGGGTCAGTTGGCATTTCTATGTGGAGGTTGCATGTTCTCGTGTTGGCATGAGTTTCCTCCAGGTGCTTCGGTTTCCCCCACAAGTCCAAAGACATGTGCTATAGGTGAATTGGGTAAGCTAAATTGCCTGTAGTGTCTGTGTGTAAATCAGAATGTATAGGTGTTTCCCAGTACCGGATTGCTGCTGGAAGGGCATCTGCTGCGTAAAACATATGCTGGATAAGTTTGTTTGTTTATTTGTTTGCTTTATTCATAGAGCACATTTAAAAACAACAGATGTTGACCAAAGTGCTTTACTAAAAGACCAGCATACAAAAAAAAAAAAAAAAAAAAAAAAAAAAAAAAAAAAATATATATATATATATATAAACATAATATATAAAACAGGATTAAATGTATTATTTGCTATCAAAAAGCAAAAACAAAAGGGGATTTTTTTTTTATATACAACTTAAAAGCCCCAAGGGAAGTAAGTACATGACCTGATTTGTAAATGCAAACCATTCCACAAACGGGGGGCTGTGTAAAAAAAAAACCCCTGTCATCTCTTGATTTCAACCGTGTTTTAGAAACAACTAGCTAAAATTCATTTTCCAACCTGATTGGTATGCCAGTAAAAAACCTCATCGACGTAAATAGGTCCCAAACCATTTAACACTTTAAAAACAAGTAGCAAAAACTTGTATTGAATCCTACATTGAACTGGAACCCAGTGAAAAAATAATAAAACTGGGGAAATACTAAAATTTTTTTTTGTCCCGGTTAAAAGCCAAGCAGCTGCATTTTGAACAAGCTGCAGGCGTACAATTGATAAGCTGGGGGTTCATTCCGCCGTGGGGACCCCTGATTAATAAAGCGACTAAGCTGAAAATGAATGATTGAAGTCGTGTTGAAATATAAGTTTCCCCCCTTTACCCAATATTAAAAATTATCTTTATATTACCGAAAA